GGCTGGCATATCAAGAAGGGTAAAGATTCAGGGCTGGTCTGGAACTTTAGGGAGGACACCAAAGAATCATCTCAGTGGAACAGATGGAGCAGGAGCCTGATTTGAAGATGAGAAAGGGTTGATCATACCTGAACATAACTGAGTTTTAGATCTGTTGGAGTATCAGTATGGTAAATTACAGAACTGCAATCAACATCCAAGTACTGTGATTATAAATGATAGCTTTTCCATATGGACACCACTAAATAGATACATGTGTTACCTAACAGAGTGTTGGTAAAACTTAGCAAATAAACTTCTGATGCTTGGTCTCTTATAATAGTGGGAAAGTACTCTTCAAGTTCAAGTGTTTTTTCTCATTATTTGTTAATTACTGTATTTCCTTTGTCCCAGATACAAGAGCTGGAAGTGGTATCTGAAGTTAGCACACATTTTAACTGCTTAAAGCATCCCCTATATTCTTGTCCAGTTATATGTAACCTGAATTTAGTGCTTCACTGCTGGAAGCAGCACAGGAGCCATCAGAAGTGTAAAGAAGGGCTTGGTTTCATGCCTGAGGTGCTGTGAAGCCTGTGCAAACAGCACAAGCCCTCAGGCACAAGCATCAGGCAGTTTTAAACATCGTCCTGATACCTAACTGAGATGAGTTTATGCATAAAATGAAGTAAGCCATTTGTCAAAAAAGCTCTAAAATCCTTAGTTTTATATCTGGCTGAAAGTATCAATATCCTAACGTGTCAACAGAGCTAATAAGTCTACTGCAGTATTTGTCTATAAGTCCTTTATTTCATTATTTTTGTTGTTGAACTCAACACCTTGGCTTGTTTGGATTCATTAGTTGCCCTTGTCCCTTGGTGAGTCCAGCTGAGTGGGGCTGGTCTGACCAGTGACACTCAGCTTAGCTGAATGGGCCATTTTCTTTTGGTCAAGGCTGGAGGAAGAGACATTGTATTGGAGATAGAATGCAAGAACAGAAGCAAGGAAAGCTTGATATCCCAGCTTGTTGTTGTTCTGTAAGGAGATGGAATGGAGCTACACCGAATGCTCAGGCAGCCAGAGACTGTGCATAGCCAGCCTTGAGAGCAAAGAGTAACCTGAGAGGAGGATGAAAGATCCACCTGGCCTAGGATCATGCTTCCAGCTGCAAATAGGAGAAAGCAGCACAGTCAAAGTGACATTCCTTCCAGCCTGCAATGATTTGCAGCATATATTCTCTCTGGGTGGGATGTGTTAATCCTCAGTAGGTACTGCAAGACCCTCCTGTCCCTACATTGGGCCTTTCCTGCCTGAGACAGTTTTTATTGTTCCTGCAGTTCTGTGAGGAAAACCGACTTCAGGAATATGAATATTTGCATCATACAGAGCAGGAGAAGTGGGTTTAAAAAGCTCACAATAGTGGAATTTACTCTGTGAACAAGACAGGACACGATCAAAATATCTTGTGTATAATATCTCAGGTTGAAAGGGACCCATATGGATCATCAGGTCCAACTTGCATGTTGCAGATCTATCAGATTTTCCCAGAAAAAGCCTTCTTCACATACTCAGGCTGATTCTGTAGCGTGTACTCAGTGTGAATGGTGGATCTGAAAGTAGTGGAAACAATCTGTCCACAAAAAAAGTCTGTATTTGGAGATGTTTTGATACTCTGAGTGGCTGTTCTGCTACTCATGCAGTAGAATATTATGAAATTCAGTGCTACATTCTGTACAGCTACACTGTTCAGGTTCAGTTTGCATTTCTGTAGCTGGACAATAGGAACGTACTGATACATTTTGTAATTGGATAACAGAATATGGAAAGCAAAGTTGAAAGTTCTTTAAAATGTGGCAAAAATGAAAATGGATGAAATGTTTTGGATTGAGGTTCAGCTTGCAAAAGTCAAAATAATGTGAGAAAAAGAGTAATGGCTGCAGAGCAAAGGCACTGGGCAAAGGTCTTTTAGTGCTAAATCACTCAACAAAAAGTGGCAAGGTAAAACTTACCGTTCAAATTACAAGACTACAGAGAATTGTAGGAGAGTCATTACTTACAAGGTTATTTTGCAAATTTAAAGTGCAAAATGTAATGAAACAAATGTAAGTATGGGGTATTCTAAGTGAGGGCAAAAGCAGTTATGAACCTTTCATCAGCACCTGGACAGTCACTTTGGCAGGTCAGAGATTTTATACAGTATTTTAGATTTAGAGTCTACATCAGAGCCTAGTAAACTGTTAGGAAGAAATAAAACAGTAATTTTGGTATCAAGAAAAACATACACAGCTAGTGAATTAGTAATTCATCCATGTAGTGTAAGATCTCTGTAAGAGAGGATGGCATTGTGGCCTTTGTGATCAACCTCCAACCTCAGGAACAGTTAATGAGGCAGGCTGATCCAGAGTAGAGTGTTCTGGAAGTTGCTGCTGCTCAGCCTGGCAAGAAATTGCTGTCAAAGACCTCAAAATCGGTGCTGTCAGTCTTTCCAGATATCAGTTATTCCTGTGTGGTTGGATAAAGGGGACAGGTGTTGAGTGTGTTGGCAGAATCAGTGAGGAATTGCAGGGTTGGGAGTATCTACTCTGCTAACAGTCAATCAGCTCCTCTCTAAACATGCTGTGATGTTTAATCAGGAGCTCAGAAATCCCATTCCATGGCAGTTCCCCATAAACTGAGAGGCCAGGCTACTTTGTTCTGCTGAATTCATGACACTGGTGTGCAAAGAAGCTGGGCATTTTTGGATTTCTGGAGCCTGAGAGTCCTGGTTGTTGTTATTCTGCCTCATGGGCTGAAGCTCTGAAGTCTCGACACTTGCCTTCTCGTTGGGTTGCCTAGGAGCCCAGCTGGCAAGCAGGGAATGAAACAGGCTCATTGTGAAACCTTTCTGCTGTAATGCTGCCAGGTTTCATCAAAATCAAATAATCTCTCTCAGGTATTTCAATCTTGAATTGTCAGTCTTACAGACAACCATCCTGCCTGGGAATTTTGAACCAGCTTTTCACTGATTAACTTGTTTTCAAGAGACTAGGTCATAAACTTAGCACAAATATAAATATCTCATGATAACTAGAGGAAGCATATCTCCTATTTACAATTGTTTTCAAATTTCCTTTCCTACCTACATCTCCTACATCTGAGAGTACTCTTACATAGAGGCTTTCAAGGCTGTTATTCATCTCTGGTGTGGATTTGAAGAATTACCAATACTTTTAAAGTCTCATCCTCTGACATATGTTTCAATATATAGATTGATATGTCTGATGAGGTACTTCTGAGGACAGGAATGAGCTCTGTAGGAGATGGTTTCATGTCAGTAAGTATTACATTGTACATTCTTTTCCTGGTATATTCTATATCATATATTATTTATATCACTATGAGCATGTATGTCAGAATATGTGCTTAATTTCAGATTGTTTAAATAGTTTAGCAAATGGGGCTAGAGGGAAGAAGAGCATAAAACAGAAACTACTATATTTTTTACTTCTAAAGTAGGCAGCCTCAGCACATGGTGTCTTTGGATGTTTTTTTAACTGCATTTTAAGAAAAAAAAAATCTTCCTTGCCTATTTCGTGCTGCATCTTCTGTTATCATTAGACTTAGTAACTGATAGAGGTTTCTTTATTGTGTTATGAAACAATTTTAATGTATATATGCTGGGATTTTGGAGGAAAAAATACTGGTCTTCATCTTGGAAAAAGCGATGACCATGTACCTCATCAAAGACAACATTAAATTTTATATCAGTGATAAAACAAGGTACAGAAGAATGCCAAATGTTCTGAATAGCAACTGCCTATTCTTAGTCTGCTGGGAGTTACATTTGAAAGGGCTTTAGGTCTTGTGTGTTGGATTTCTGTATTTCCTCTGGCATAAATTAGTCTCGTCTCTAAAATCTGAAGCCAGAGTCTGATTGTATGAACTCACTGTATGGGTAATGACAGAAAATCCTAGCCCAAACGTAAAGGGTTTATAAAGAGCTGTTATTTAACTGTTCAATCTGAAGGACAAACTTCAGAAAAGACATGGAAAATAATAATTTTAAGTTATTTAAATAGTTATGAGTAACTCTGTATAACTTCTGACATTTGGCAAGACATGAAATCCAGCAGCCTTTATTATGTTGAATGCCATCAGGAAGACCAGTTGGATTTGATGGTGTTAAAGGTCCTTTCCAACCTAAAGTATTTTGCAGCATCCAATAAAGCCAGAGGATCAGCTGAACTAGCAGCCATGTAGACGAACACTGGAATCAATACTCAAATCTCTCAATTTTTTTTCTGGCTGGAAGGGAGGAATAAATAAGATATCTTGTTCTTCCCACTTGACTGGTTACTGATACCCAGCACTACATGAGGTTATGTGGAGTTACCCAGCAGGATGGAACAGACAGTGCAAATTCAGCTCTGTCCAGTCCCTGTCCTGTCCTCTGCTGGCAACACCATAAAGATGACACTAATCACTGTATCTTTTTAGAAATCCATGTTTCTTACAGGCACTGTGATATCATAATTTCCGTGGAAAATGTTCTATAGTTTGAAAATCATATGTCACAATCCTGTTTGGTATCATGAGATTATTTTCTATATAAGAAAATATTATAATTTTATACATCTATATATTGTTATTGCATACTTGAATACATTTGTGATTTATAAAAATGTTTTCATTCACTTGCAGTCTTCTGTTCCTGTAAACTCTTTTGGTTACTTCCCTTTGATGTACTAATATCAATGTAACAAAATGTAACTAAGCCTACTGTCTATTTTCAATTAAAATTTATTCTATGAATGAATTCTCCTGCAACCTAATCAGGTATCACAGGGCAGATGCAGATGGACTACCAAAATGTGTTACAGAAGAGGGTGAAAGCGATATGTGATACTTTTTTGAAAACTTATTTGTCTTGTCTCCAATACTGACAACTTAACTATGTGCATTCCAAAACTTATTAGGAGATGCTGTTGGTTTTGACATGCACAAATTAAGGAAGTATTGCTTAAGTATTTATTTTTCTCTTTCAGTTATTGCAATGGATGTATGTTAGATCCAGACTGTGGTCTCTGCTACAAATTGAATAAATCAAGTGTTGTTGAGTCCTCATGCATTCCTGTTGATAAAGATTCTACAATGAAAGCAGCTTGGGGCAGGTATGTCATTTGTCAAGATTTTTAGCCTTGTGCTCTACAGAGAGTGTATTTATGCTATTGAGAACAATTTTGCTTTTACAAAAAGTGTTAAATTCTTAAGATATTCGGGAAGAAGAAAATAACTTGGCATTGTCAAAAACGGGTGATTACTTCCTAACAATAAATTAAAGCCTTGACCCTGATGTGTGCAGCACTTTTGGGGTAGTCTGACACTTATAAAGCATGGCAAAAGTACACTAGAAATGAGGAAAATTGCTTTTCCTTAATGTTTTTTACTCATTTGAAGTGGCATATTCCCTAGTTATATACTTAAAGCCCTCTGAATTGTCTTTTTAAATGCATTAATTAAACCACACTTTCAATATTGGCCTACCAAAGAAACAATTAGCACAGCTGAATAAACTAAAATTATCAAAATCTGAAAAGTTCAAATTGTCAAAAGCATGGGGTTTGGTCACAGATTTCTGTGGTTCTGTGCCTGAATGGAGTGTCATGCCATATGTTGCATTTGAGTGTAAAAACGTGTGCATTCATAGGTGCAACTGCAAAATATATCAATCTCTTTCTTAAGCACAAAAATTTCCTGTGAAGTCACAGCAACCTTCAAGTTTTCTGAAGTACTGATAATTCCTAAGGAATAACTTTGTGAGTTGGATCGTTGTCTTGTGGAGGCTTTATGAATACTTTAGTAATGATTATGGCTTGGATTAGGGTTTAGAATGGTTCAGAGCCACAAGAGAATTATGTAATTACTTCTTCTGATAAAACCACCTCGACATAATTCTTCTCAGCCACCCACACACCATGAACATATCTAGGGAATAGGCAAAGGTTTGTTTGGTGGTTTAGGCCTATTTTTTTTTTTTTTTTAACTTTTATACTTATTTCTCAGAATTTAAACCCAACTTTCTTAATGGCACTGAGTCATATTGGACAAAGGTTGAAAAGTACGAAAATATCTACTAATTTTATTGTAGAATCATTATTTTAAAATTACTGTAAAATTGAACTCGTTTTGATTTCAGTACCATTAGGCTTAGTAATTAATTCCAGGTGCAGAAAAGAGAAGCTTATGTTTTTTGTAATCCTACTTTAAAAACACTGTTATCATTTTGGGGCTATTACAGTTAATAAATTACTGTGAAAACTAAAAAATCTCATCTGACCTGCTTGTTCTGTGACTAACTTCAATGTCATATTATGGCACATACCTTGCATATTGCCTGATACCCTGATGTGATCTGCAGCATGTGGACTCTCATATTTGTAAGGTAACAGATGTCTCTTTATATTCCAACTCAACATTCATTTCCTATATGCTGCAGCTTTAAGTAACTTGTCTGTAATTAGCAGAATCACACGAGAATGCAGAAAGACATACATACCAACAAAAACTTGTTATTAATAGTTGATAGATAAAATTAAACTTTATTTCATTAGCCAGTGCTATTGTTCGGCTCAGTAAATGTGGGCATAAGCAATTTTTTCATATTCATGATTCAGTCTCTTTGCTGTACAGCCTATTGGAGCAAATTATATAGGGAAGAAGAAATATTTCCTTTTCATGTTGCAAAATGCAATATGTCTTTCCATATGTAAGAATTCCATAGCATGAGGACTCTGCTTACAATCCTTCAAGAGGAAATAAAAAAATGTTATATATGTTATATTGGTAGTCACTATTGTGAAAGTCCTGCCTTAAGATGGAAAACCAGAAAAACGTCCACCTTTATTTTTCTAAATATTCATCACCGTTTCTAGTGTTTATTTCATTAATTTCTCTCTTGACTCCACCCTGTCTGTGTAATCAGGCAGTTTTCAAAAAGCTGATCCTTCAAGCTGTGAAATGTCTGTGCCTTCCAAGCCCTGTGGAAGAGGGAAGCATTTTACCTTCTCCTTTTCATTCTGCTCCTCCTCCTCCTCACAGATACATGTATTTCTGCTTACTGGCCCAGGGGAATCCCCATAGATTTTTGTTTCCAAGAGCTCACGCGTTTGCTCAAATCCTGAGTCTGCTTTACAGCAAAATCAGTCCCACAAAGCCCCAGGATTTCCCTGCCAAGGGAAGCTTGCTGCAGGGAAAACAGCGTAGTTACATCCCCAGTTGTGTCTCAGACCAGCCCGAGGCATCTGTGTCTCCCTGGCAGCATAGCAAGAGCAAGTGCCTGAGTAAACTGACAGCGCTGGTGAAGGATATTGCAGACCTTTCTCTCACAAAGTTACTTTTTCACGAACTAGATCATTATGATGATCAGAATGTAGTATTTCAAAGAGGATTTTGTGAGTATGGACAGCTGATAGCTGTAATTATCAGCAACCTCTTTTGTAACTCTTGTGTATCCTGATGGCTTCATGCCTTCGGGTATTAGATGAATGAGTTTAAATGGCTTAAAACCTCCAGGGTTACACTTGGCTCATGGAAAATCTATTTTGCCATTAATTTTGCTTAGGAGAGAAGAAAGACCTGAGCTATTTGTTTGGAACTTGTTGGACCTCAGATGGCTGAGCATTAGCAGAAGCAGCAGCTCTCACGATGCTGATGCAGGAGTTAGAGCTTCTCCTGGACTTGGGCTGACAGTGCCGTGCAGAGCATTTTACTGCTGCTGTGGTCACATCTTGTTTATGATTTTCCTGCTGGAAAGCTGGGAGCTGCAGTCATCTGAAGCCCACATTTACTGTCCTGACATTTACTCACAGGTTTACCTATTCCTGACATATAACCTACCACCAAGGTGAGAGGCGCTCAGAAGCACTAACAAAGAAGGTCTTGTCATATATTTTTTAAAGCTCTCTGCAGCCATGCAGACTGACATAGGAAACTTCTGTTTATGTATTTATTGCTTTGCACTGTTTTTCACTGTTGGTCCCAAGGCACTTTGATAACACTGATGTAGCAGGCAATGCTTTGACTGTTACCATGAAATACTGTAGCGCATTTTATTTCCAGGACTTTTCCCCAGAGCCAGCCAGGTGTACTAGATACCATCTCCACTGTTAATTGCATTTATTTGGTTGCGATATGTTCTACATTGAGAAGTTCTGGGGAGAGGAGGGAAGAGAGCAGAGATTTCAGTCTCCTGTGGCTGCCAGCAAGGCTGTTTATGTTGCTGTGGTTGTCATAGAAACCCAGGGAGACAATTAAAGCATCCACATATTTTTCAAGAAGAATATAGCATTTGGGTTCTGTTCGATGTTGGAAACTCAGTGGCTGGCAGTGGCCCTGGGGAGAGAGACTGCGCAAGAATAAATCTGACCGAGTCCAAGTCAGAGCTTAAGCAGCATGGGTAATGTGCACTGGGTGTGCCTGTAAGATCATGCATGGACCACAAGCAGTAGAGATGTATTGTTCATTATTTAATTAGTTACATAAGCACAACTGGTATTAGAATAAGACAATGAGGAGTATCTTGCCCAGGGCACCAGCACAGGCAGGTGCTTTGCTGCCCTTGGTATTTCTGAACCAGTTAACAAAATAGCTGTTGACATGCAAGTCTTGCTGCCTCCAGCTCTGCCCAGGGACGCATAAAGAATGGTTCCAAGACAGTGAGCAAGAATATTCTTGAATTATTTACTTTGTAGTAAAAGAAGAAGAGCTGTATCTTTTCTTTCAGTGTAGTCTCACAGTTCTGCACTGGGACTCTGTTTTCCAAGATTCAGGGAAGTTTTGCACTTAGCAGTAACACAGGAAGCCTTTCAGTTCTGTTCTTCATGAACACTGAATTATGAAATCCCCGTGAACTTCATAAAAAGCATTATCTCACTTGTACAGATAGGGATGCAATGGCAAGGTTCCAATAGGCTCAAGTGGCACAACAGAGGTCATGGGCAGAGTCCCTCTGTCAGCCAGGACAAGATGTAGAGGTGATTGCTTTCAGTGCTGTGCTTTCTGAATGTAACCCAAAATCTAGGGGTTTTCCCCACAATTACAATTGCTCCCGCAGTACTCAGAGAAATTTCTCTCTTGAAATTTCTCTGTGTGTAATTGCAATACTCATAAAGGCCAGCCAATAATGAAGAAACTTTAAATTGCATTACTACCCTTACAGTTGAAAAAATGACTGCAAGGGAAAGAGGTACTTACAGAGCCTTGATGTGACATTAACCTTGACATGAGTATGTTGTCAAGACGACAGCAGACCCGCAACTGAACTAAAATGCTCTCATGAGCAACTCTGAGCAGTCTTCCTCTGGAGAGAATGATGTTGATTTTATACAGTAAACAATTATGAAGAAATAATAACATCATCGTCAGATCAGAGACAAGCCTAGAAGCCATCCTGTCCACACAATTAGCTGGCAGGTCTCCACAGTCCCTGAAGGAGAATGACTGGGAACAGAAATCTGTAAAGAGAGAGGAGCTGAGTGATTTGCTTTATTCAGCCATTTTTATTAACTTTGTTAGAGGAACATCTCCTTGCCAGGGGAGTTTAATGCTTCATGGAGAATTCTGCCTTTCTCAAAATAAAGAGGCCCTTCCCTCTCAAAGGGCAGTCAGTGCAAAGGCGAGAGTGAAGAGCTCTGTCTTTGGGAAGCGCTATTTTCCTCTAGCCAGTGCTCTCCTGAGCATCTTCCTTCCATGTAAAATGAATGGCAGGTTTACAGATTATCAGTAATGCTGTTAGGTTTCACTGTGTGCCTGTTGCTCATATCTTCTAGTTTGCTGAGAGGTTTAAATGTGTCTTGGAAACCTGTTTGGGGGAAAAGTGGGTTTGAATTGCCTGTGCAGAGAGAGGAAACGGGTCAGGCAGGCAGTCAAACCCTCTTTCCTAGCTTCAGGAGTGTGCCTAATGACCTTGGCATTCGAGCCTGGATGCTAACTAGATTCCACTAGTTAGAAAAAATAAATTCATGGGAGTTCATTAGCAGGATTCTCAGACAACAGATTGGTTTATTTCCAACAGGGGACATACCACTGTCAGAGGCTTGAGAGTGTTCTGCAGAGCTTTACATTCATGCAGTGGTGCCTGTCATCTAATGCATAGCAGATGAGACTCTTAGAA